GCGGTAACGAGCGTGCTCTGGGTGGCTGTAGCCGCGCGTTTCAACAGTTGTTCTCATTGGCTTTTGATTCCAAATGAGTAGGAAATGCTATTAGTTCAGGCCTCGCCTGCCGCATGGCAAGGCCCTGGAATAGGAGTGCAGTGAGACGAGAAATTGTGGAGATAAAACTGGTGTGAAATGGAGGCCTTCTCACAAGGCTGGATGTGTCCGTGCGAAATGAAGTTACTTCTGAGAAAACGAGATTTAAAGAGATTCTGCAGAATTAGATTACACTTTCAAATTTCCTTATTAAAGAGGATTGATGCCTAGGAGGGGCTGCTGGTAGGCTTGGTTTGGGATCCTACTCTGCAGTTCCCAGGCCTGGGTGTGGGCCCAGGCGGGCAAAGCACCTTACAGGTGATAGGGACTCAGACCCCCAGGACCCAGAGAGTGAGTCTCCCCACCTCCAGAAGCTGAAGTAGGCATGTGGATTGTGGGACTGAACTTCTGGGTAATGTCTGATGTTGCACGTGGGTCCATGAGGGTAACAATAAGGGTTCATGCTCTTCCAATTCCTTCCATCTTCAGGTCTCTTACTTGTGGGTTTTGTTGAAATCAGAGCTTGATTCTAAGGGCTGTTCCACTTTTTGACACTGTAGTCTTTTAAGAGACTAAACGTGCATGCAGCTGCTTGTGCATATGTGCGCATCTGTGCATAAGTGTATATTTACATGAGTGCACCCAAAAGCGTGCTAATACATACACATGCATGTGTGTGCTTAGACGCATGGGTATGTATTTTCATGCAACTTACTGAACACCTACTGTATGCCAGCACTGTGCTGGGAACTGAAATAAAACTGTTGTGGGGAGAATAAAACAGATACAGTCCCTCCTCACATGGACCTAGTGTATGTGTGTGATCACGTGGACATGGGGAAGTATTTGTGTGCTGCTGTGCATGTGTCCTGCAGCTGTGTGGTGAGCATCTGCATGCTTTTCATGTGTCTCCTAATCTCTGTGAAGTCTCCTGCTTGGGTCTCAGACCCCCTCAGCATGCGGCCCTGCAGCACAGCCCCCCTCAGCATGCGGCCCTGCAGCACAGCCCCCCTCAGCATGCGGCCCTGCAGCATAGCACCCTCAGCATGCGACCCTGCAGCACAGCCCCCCTCAGCATGCGGCCCTGCAGCACAGCACCCTCAGCATGCGGCCCTGCAGCACAGCCCCCCTCCGGCATGCAGCCCTGCAGCACAGCCCCCCTCCGGCATGCGGCCCTGCAGCACAGCACCCTCAGCATGCGGCCCTGCAGCACAGCCCCCTCAGCATGCGGCCCTGCAGCACAGCACCCTCAGCATGCGGCCCTGCAGCACAGCACCCTCAGCATGCGGCCCTGCAGCACAGCCCCCCTCAGCATGCGGCCCTGCAGCACAGCACCCTCAGCATGCGGCCCTGCAGCACAGCCCCCCTCCGGCATGCAGCCCTGCAGCACAGCCCCCCTCCGGCATGCGGCCCTGCAGCACAGCACCCTCAGCATGCGGCCCTGCAGCACAGCACCCTCAGCATGCGGCCCTGCAGCACAGCCCCCCTCAGCATGCGGCCCTGCAGCACAGCACCCTCAGCATGCGGCCCTGCAGCACAGCCCCCCCCCGGGCATGCGGCCCTGCAGCACAGCGCCCCCCCGGCAAGCGGCCCTGCAGCACAGCACAGGAGTCAAGTACTTGGGCCCTAGTGATAGACTGCCAGGGTTCACAGGCCAGCTCTTTCTCCTACTAACTGTGATCAGTTAGCAAGCTTTCTTGTGCCCCAGTTTTCCCATTGTGAAATGGGGGTCATAATGGTTGTGGGTACAGCTCTTGGAGGCAGAGCACTGGGAGGTGCTCAGTCACTGTCTTCTCCCTGCAGATTGCCCAGTGCAGGCTCCCTGCTGGCCCCAGAGGAGGGCTCGGGTACCCATGGTGAGAAAGGGAAGCCCCAAAGCTGCAGTAGCAGCTGTGTTGTGCTGTGTGAGCTCTGGAGAGGGCCTGCAGCTCAGTCTCCCCAGCCCAGGCCAGAGAATGCCTGGGTGCTGGTTTGGAACCAGTATTGAGGCTTGTTGAGAGATTATGAGAAATACCAAGGGCCATGCACAGTGATTCACACCTGTAACCCCAGCACTTTGGGAAGTTGAGGTGGGAGAATTGCTTGAGCCCAGGAGTTCGAGACCAGCCTGGGCAACATAGTTGAGACCTTGTCTCTAAAAATAAAATAAAATAAAAAAAATTCCTCCCCCAAAAATTTAGCCTGGCTTGGTGATATGTGCCTGTGGTCCCACCGACACAGGAGGCTGAGGTAGGAGGATCTCTTGAGCCGGGAGGTTGAGGCTACAGTGAGCTGTGACCACATCACTACACTCCAGCATAGAGATAGAGGAAGACCCTGTCTCAAAAAATAAAAAAGGCTACACCTGCCTCCAGGGCTCTTTCCAGAGCAGCCAGAGGGTCCTGCCCTGGAACTGTCACCCTCTGCATGGCCACAGCAACTGCTTCCCACACGGCTGGTCACTGGAACAGCCTGTTGGACAGATACGGTGGCTTCCTTCTACACATACTTGCACTGACCACTAGACTGGCCTTTGGGTGGAGCTGGACTATGGCCAGTGCCAGGGTGACTTTAACCACAGTAGAACAATCAAATCAGTTTGTTGCTCCTCAAAATAAGTGTCTCTCACTATCCTGTCCTATACATTGAGGAGGGTGACACTAATCAGAGTTCACATTTTACTGTGGCCTTAGGCCTTAGCACATCACATAAATTAACTCCGTTCTTCCTCATGATGACTCTGAAATGAGTAATCTTTTCATACCCATTTTACAAAAAAGAAAATTGAGAAAATGTGAATTAAGGTCACACAGTCAAAAGTGTCAGACAAACCCACATTGGGAGATATTCCATGAAATGACTGGCCTGTACTCTTCAAAAACGCCATTGTCTTGAAACACAAAAGAAAGGTTTAGGAATTCTTCCAGATGTAAGTAGACTAAACTTGACAACTGAATGCGATGCAGGGCCCAGGATTTTTCCATAAAAGATATTTTTGAAGAAATTGGTAAAACCTGAATGAGGTCTATAGATTAGATAATAATATTATGCCAATGATAATTTTCTGGTTTCAATTATTGCACTGTGGTTATATAAGAGAATGTCCTTGTTTTCAGTAAAGCATTCGCAAACCAGAAGTATTAGGGGATATAGAGGCTTCCTGTTTGAAACCAACTCTCAAATGATTTAGGGAAAATTATAGGTAAGTTGGTAGGAGTAGGTAGAAAGATGGTGGATAAATCAAATGTGGTAAAATGTTATATGCAGGGAATCTGGGTGAAGGGTTTACAGGTTATTTTTTCTACTATTTTCTACTATTTCTAATATTTTCTAATATTTTTCTACTATTCTTGCGAGTGTCAAAATTATGTCAAGAGAGAAAATGTTAAAGAAAAAGAAAGCAAGTGCTGAGCAGGGATGGTATCCTGGGGTGAGTGTTAATACTATCAGTTCCTGTTCACTGTGCCCTGGGCACCAGACTCTGTGCTATGGCCTCATGTGCATAACCTCATTCTATCCTCACCACATTCTGAGCGGAAAGAGACCATTGTGGCCCCCAGTACACACATGCCAGTCAGAAAGGTGGGAGGATTTAATCCAGGTCCCCCAGCTCCTTGGAGCAGTTCCCAGACTTGAAACTAGGCTCTCTGATTTCAAGGTCTGAACTCTTAGCCTCAGTCCCGCTCTTGACTCTGACCTTTTGGGGAGAGTGGGCATGGGCAGGACAAAGGCATTTCTGCCTGGAGTAGTACAGAGTGAAGGCCCTGGGACACAAGCAAAGAAGATCTATTTGCTGGAGGGAGAGGAGCTGTGTTCCAGGATCCTGCAGAAAGCAGAGCCAGCAGTGCCAAGCAGGACACACTGGCGTGTGGGAGGGGCTGCAGATGCCCAGTGGAGTTGCCAGGGTTGCCAGGGTGTGGCTACAGTGGCTCCAAGCAGGAGAGCCACAGGAAAGAGCCTGGAGTGACCTGGGACTGGGTGAGGTCGATGTTCTGGGCTGGAAGACTGGCATTGGAGGAGCTCACTGGGGTAGGTGTCCCCCTAGGGTGCCGTCCAAACCAGAGGCACTGGTAGTACTGGAACCTGTGGGCTTGGCAGTTTCAGAAAGTCCACGTGCTGGAGCTGAGGGACAACTGGGCTGGGACAGGTGGGCAGGAGTTGCTGGGGACTTGGGTCTGGCCTAGTGGACTATTCTGGGGTCCATGTGAAGATGAGGGCATTTCACCTCCCTGCTGGAGGAAGAGAGTGGGAGGGGTAGGATGACCTCTGGCAGTCCCTCCCCGTCACCTGGACTGTCTGGCTTTCCCCCAGATTAAAGAGCGGAGGGTGAGTGTCTGGCAGCCAGATGAGTCAGCCTGGGAGGCTTCTCTCTGAGCCTGGCTGCCTCCTTCCACCAGCAGCCCTGCCTCCACCCCCTGCTAGAGGTAGGGGTTGGAGTTCAGCCTGTTTCCCCTCCAATGTCGTTCCCCCCATGTCCTAAGACTTAGGGGTGACCCTGGGTTGAGTGGACTCGTTTATTCTGTTGGACGCATGCATCTGAGTGTGTGCCCAGGCGTGCGTGTCGGCGCAAACATCATCCGTTGTAAAGTATCAGTGTTTTCATGGGTGAGTAGTAATTACTGGGTAATGCTTTAAAACCTTTCCTGAAGGAGCGCAAAGCCATTTTTTTCTAAAGTCAGGAGTACATTAAAAGGATTACCATGTAGATTTGATTTTTAGATAACACTAAAATGGATCCCAAATGGACTTCAGCAAAGGGATGCTATCTCCTTAATGGAAAGTGCATGGCCCGAGGCTCAGGTCCCAGAGCCAGGCTGGGGAAGGAGGGAGGGAAGAGGTGTCTGCAGAGGGGCAAGCTGGCGGATTGGGTGGGGGGGCTAGGTGGGAATGGGGGAGGCAGAGCAGGAGGGAGGGCCCTGACCCTGTGGGGAGCTGATCCCTCCATCTGGGGAACAGGAGACTGCAGAGCCCCTCCTGAAAGCCCTTCCACCTTTCCAGCAGTGTTTTCAAGCCTCCTGGATCAGCCTGGTGAGAGCAGACACAGCATGGATGCCCCATGAGGAAGGAAGGCTGTCTCCACTGTTTTGTTTGACCCCCCAGAGCTCTTCCACTCTCCTGTGAGAAGCAAGGGATTGCTTCACTTTTTCTTACAGGCAGATGAAGGAAGTTAGGCCCAGAGAGACCGGGGGATATGCTCTGGACCCCATAGCCAGAGGACTGCAGACCTGGAGTCTGGTCCCAGGCCCATCCCACGGTGCTGTCCTGGCTCAGGCTTCCCCCAGGATGCCAGCCTTTCTTGCCAGGAGGTCTCTAGACCCAAGGGTCTCTAGATGCTCTGGGGCCTCCTCGGTACACTTTGGCAGAAGCTGTGTGGCTTCTATAAGAGTTTTCCAGAGCCAGGAATCAGTTCAGCATCCCGGAAGAGGGGTGTCCAGATCTTAAGGTAACCTGCCTGTGCAGAGGCCAGCCTGGGCACAGGCAGCAGGGAGGGGGACTTGTGGCAGCTGGTAGCTGCACCCCTCATGGCTTCCACAGGGCCCTGTAGGTGCCAGATCCCTCCAGTGGAGAGACTGTCGACTAGTGCTGGAGTTCTCAGCCCTGCAGGAGCCAGGACAAACATGCTAGGGTCCGAGCTTGGAAGACCAGCCTGTCCAAGAGCCAGGGTAGATGGAAGAGAGAGTGGGACAGCTGCTTCAAGTGCTGGGCTCTCTCACTGTCTCCCTTCATGCTAGGCTATAATTTAGTGGGCTAGGGTCTCCCCTGAGTACAGAGGTTCCAGCCATTCACCCATGTTCTGGTAATAACCCAAATATAGAGTCCTGGGAGGGGCTCAGGACCGCTGGGAAGGGAGCCAGGCCTGCCATGAGCCTGGCTGAGCAAAAGGAATGTGAGCCTTGTAGGGGCTGTAGTGGGGGCCTGGCCCAAGATCTTCCCAGTCGGTTTTTGAATGCATAGCTCTGTTGGCTGCACGCTCCCTGCACAGGGCCTAGGGACAAAGGTCCTGCCCATGGAGCCCTACCCTGGTCCAGGTCCTACCCTGGGAGGCCCTCATTTCCCCATCCAGCTATTTTAACTCCTCCCCCATGTCCCCACACCTCCCTGTAGGCCAGGACTTGGAAGGAGCCTTGTAGACCCCTTCAGTTCTCAGGGGTACCTGCTCCCCAGCTGCCCTCCTTCGGCTCTTTCAGAGCTCTGTGCCAGCTGGGCCCTGCTGGAAGAGACACAAGCAGGCCCGAGGACAGAGTCATCCTGTGCCCCATCCCTCTCTCAGACCAATTAACCTTTAGAACTGCATTAAGGAAATTAGGCAGCAAACTCCCCAGCTAACAGACAGGCCCTGCGGGGACTGGACGGAGGAGGAGGAGGGAGCCCACTGGCCCTGCGCACTGCAGCCTGTGGGTGAGTGCCTGCTCCCCAGCCTCACCTATCCAGGAGAAGTCTGAGGAGCCAGCTGGGCTGACAGTGAGCACAGGAGAGGGGAAGGAGCCCTGGGGCCAGCTTGACGGTGGCTGACTCAATGCCCTGTAACTGTCTGAGCCTTAGGTTCCCCATCTGTAGAATGAGAACATTTAACTGGAAGAACTCTGAGGGCTCTTCTGACCTTACATCTGTGGATTCTGAGACCAAGGCCTCTTGTGGCTGGTCCTCCCCTGATGCCCAAGGAGGGGGGAAGCAAAAGGAAGGGAAGCAGCCTAACCATTCAGACTCTGGGTTGGGGGCAGTGAGGAGGGCTGGGAATGGGAGGGACACCAGGGGATGGGAGGAAGGCCAGAGCCCTGCAGAGAGCAGGAACCCTTTGGAGAGGACAGGGCCAGTAGGAGGACTGACTCCAGGGGAGTGTTGGAAAGCCGGGGAGGTGAGGAGGGCTGGGCCCTTATCCAGCCTGCACCTTGGTCAGGAACAGAGCATGCACACCCTCCCTGTCTTCACAAGGATTCTCAGGCAACTCCCACAGGCCTGTAAAGTCACAGAGCAGGGCTTCTGAGGTCCTCTCCACTTCCCTCCCAGCCTCACAGGTCCACATGGATGTCCAGGCTACTGGATGACATCTGTCCCCATCTCCTCCTCAACTGTCCCTGTGGTCCCAGGAGAAGGGAATAGGAATCCATGCCTCTGTCACTTCATGCCCACACCTGCACATCGTGCCTGTGTGTGAGGGGTGTGCGTGAGCACACATGCTCACCTGCTGCGATGGGAGGCTCTGCTCTGTGGTGAACATCATGTTGGGCCCTTTGTACTTGGTGCCTGTGTGTATGTTGGGAAGCCAGTATGGGTGCTGGGAGGTGCGGATGGCTGAGAGATCCTAATCCTGGCAGAATGACGAAGGATCCAGAGGCTCAGAGCCTGCCCTCCCCCAGGCCAGGGCAGGTGAGGTATGAAGCATTCCCAAGGAGAGCCCCAGCCAGGCCCTGCCAGCTGCCCCCTCCTACCTGCCAGGAGCCCCAGAGCCTCCGCTCCCTCCTGGGAGTGTCCCAAGAGTGTCTCACTTCCTTCTTGATGCCTTCACAGCTCTACATGGATAGACCAAGAGGCTGTAGCATTTCAGCTGGAGAAACATGAGTCGGCAAAAAGATCTGGGGGTTCTAGAGGATCTCCTGGGCCTGAGGAGACTACATTTCTTAGGCTTATTGCTGAAAGAGCCAATGCGATGGTGGCTTCACATGGCGAGCTTCAGGCTTCTCCGGGTGAGACCGCACAGGGGCCAGAGGCCAGGGTGGGGAAGAACAGCTCAGGGAGGCTAGGCCTGGGGTCTGTGCATGCCTTGGAGCAGAGCAGCCTCTGGAGGGACCTTCACAGGACCAGGGAAACAGGCTGTGCCACGCAGCCCAAAGGGCAGGACCCAGAGCCAGGGAAAGAGGTTACTGGGGAGAAAGCGAGGGCTCCTGGGAGCCCCAAACCTAGAGGGGGCAGCAGAGAGAAGCAGTGAGCTCCCCATTCTTGGGGGATATTCCTTGAGGCCCAGAGCTACGGGGCCCATCCTGCGTTCCTGTCTGTCTGTCCGTCTGCAGGCGTGCCGATGCTCTCCGTTCAGCCCAAAGGGAAGCAGAAGGGTTGCGCGGGCTGTAACCGCAAGATCAAGGACCGCTATCTGCTGAAGGCATTGGACAAGTACTGGCACGAAGACTGCCTCAAGTGTGCCTGCTGTGACTGTCGCCTGGGCGAGGTGGGCTCCACCCTCTACACCAAGGCCAACCTCATCCTGTGCCGACGCGACTACCTGAGGTGGGCTGCCGACCCCTGGCCTCGCAAGCCCTTGTCCTGCTCAGAAAGCCCCCCATCCTCAGCCCTAGTGTTACTGTGCCCCGGCCCTAGACCCAGTACCTTGTGTGCCCCCCCATTCTTGACTGTCCTGCCCCTGCCCTGCTTGCCCCAGATACCTGAGGGAAGGCCCAGGTCTTTATGCCCTTGGACTCAGTGCTCAGCACAGGTTCAGGGCAGGCATTTGTAACCTGGGGCTCCTAAGTTAAGCTTTCCGAGGGCCCCAGCTTTGCTCCCCCCCACCACCCCCCACCCCCTGCCTTGGCCAGGTGCTTCTGACCCACCTGATCTGGAATCTGGGAGGGGATACTTCAGAGGGGCTTTGAGAACAGGTGTGGAAGCTTTGACTTCCCCGGGCCCCTCCTCCCTAATGCAGTCTTCTTCCCTCTCCCAGTGCCCAACTTTCCTTTCCAGGTGGTCCTTGGGAGCCGGCGTCCATTTGCCCAGGGAAACTGGCAGGCAGCCATATCCTAGGAGCAGGGCCACTGATGCTGGAGCTTCAAGACCTGGGTTGGAACTAGCTCTGAGCCTGTGGCTCCTAATCTTCTCCTAGCCTCAGTTTATTTCCCCGTGAAGGGTGAAAGAACAATGCTTCCCTGCCTTGCATTCCTCTGAGCTCTAACTCACCCTCCCTACAACCTGGATCCTATTCCCTGGGGCTGCCTCCCCCAGTTAACCCTCCCTGAGGCCATTTACGACATCAGCAAGGCTGGAAGGAGGCCACAAAGCAGGGCCTTGGCTGAGACCCAACACCTGCATTTGGCTCTGTCGCAGGCTGCTGGATGGTGGCTGGGCTTGTGGGGAAGGAGGGCTCATCGCATTCATTAACAGGTCAGGGCAAAGGCTTCATGGGGTTCCCTCTGCCTAGGTCTGGGCATGTTGCAAGGGGGAGGTTATCAGTGGAAGCTCCCCCACTTCCCCAAAGATTCTTTGACTGACCTGCCTGCACCTTCTCTCTTAACACCTGCATTTAAAAGTGATGTAGTAAAACAGAATCTGTGACTCAATGCTCCTTGCCAGGGCTGGAGGGGAGAGGCTGAGGCCAGGAGCAGGGGTTAAGGAAGAATGTTCAGACTAGGCATGGTGGCTCATGCCTATAATTCCAGCACTTTGGGAGGCCAAGGCAGGCAGATCGCTCCAGTTCAGGAGTTCGAGACCAACCCTGGACAACATGGTAAAACCCTGTTTCTACAAAAAAACAAAAACAAAAAAACAAAAAAACAAAAAAAAAGAGCCAGGTGTAGTGGCTGCACGCCTGTCGTCCCAGCTACTCAGGAGGCTGAAGTGGAAGGATTGCTTGAGCCCAGGAGTTTGAGGCTGCAGTGAGCTGTGATCGCGCCGCTGCACTCCAGCTTAGGTGACAGCTCTTGCTGACCCTGTCTCAAAAAAGAAAAGAATGTTCCTGGGGATTCACCCCTTGAGGACCTAGAAGGGGCCTCCATGTCTGGAGGTTTAGGGCATCACCTGGGGGCTGAGCCTACCGGGTTAGGACAACATGGCAGACCAGCTGATGGGTCCACTTGACTTGGAGAGAGAGGCCCACAGTGCAGAATGGGCTTATCAGGAAAAAGCACCCACAAGCATACAGGGCCCTGCCAGCTACTAGGGATGGAAGGTAATTTTTTTTTTTCCTCTGGCAGAGGCAAGGAATGACTGTAGGACCAGCTAGACCAGTGGGCTGGGATGGGAGCGTGGCTTCCTTGAGCTGCTCAGGCCGGGAGAATGGCTGTCCAGAGCCTGCGCCCTCTGTAGCAACTGTTCCTGGGCTGATGGCAAGAAAAGCCCCTCTTGGCAGGCAGATGCTGTGGCCCAGCCTTTGTCTGCCTTAATCTGAGCCACCAGGCAGCTCAAGCTGATGAATAATGGAGCCAAGCTCATCTGCAGGCGCCTCAGCTTGAGCTGGACAAATTGGGGATTAGAGGGGCCCCCCTCTTCTCAGCCTCCTTGCCTCACTTGGGGCTTGCTCTGTCTGTGTGTAGGAAAGAAGCAAGGAGGAGCTGGGATGGCTCAGACCTTTGGGACATCCAGCCGAGGGCTGGCTTGCATGGGGAGGGAGTAAACTCCCTGTCCCTAGAGCTTTACAGCCAGCAGATGAGAGGAGGGATGCCTGCCTCAAAGAGGCATTTGTGCCAGATGTCCTTGGTGCTTCCTTTGGGCATCAGTTCTGTTTTACAGCATCTTTGAATAGCATCATCCATCCCTATTTTACAGAAGGATAAACTGAGGTTCAGAGAAAGGAAAAAAAAAGGGACTTAGGCAAGTGAAACAGTGAATTTGTCATGGAAAAAGGATTTAATAAAACACTTTAATTTTGGCAAGGCACAGTGGCTCACGCCTGTAGTCCCAGCACTTTGGGAGCTGAGGCAGGAGGATCATTTGAGGCCAGGAGTTCGAGAACAGCCTGGCCAACATAGTTAGACCCCATCTGTATTTTTAAAAAATAGAATAATAAACACTGTAATGTCAAAGGTGGGAAAAGCACGTCACACAGTAGTTTAGAGCATGCCTTCTGGACCAACGCCCTGTGACTGTCCAAGTTGTTTCTCTGTGACTCATTTTTTAAATCTTTAAAATGGGGAATAACAATAGTACCACCTCCTAGGTTTGCTGTGAGGATTAAGAGTTAATCTTTGTAAAGTTCTTAGAATAGTGGCTGACACACAGTGAACCCTACCTAGGTGGTTGCTTAGTGAATCGTGACTGAGAATTTACAACAGGTTTCACAACTACCCCATGAAGGGTATGTTTCAGACTTTGTTTTATAGATGACTTAAATGAGGCTCAGAGAGACTCACTGACTTGCCTGAGGGCACACAAGGGAACCCAAGATTCACATTCTGCCCCTGAAATTCAGGCTTGTGTGGTTCTGGATCCCTTGCTCAGGGCCCAGCCTAGGATTCTCTTGGTGGCTCCGGGGCTTGAGGACCCTTGTGGGAGCCTGGGAGGGGGCCTTGGGATAGGCAGTGACAGCCAACTCCTGACCCCCCTACACACCCTCCCTGGAAGGGGATGTGCCGATTTCTTGGCAGCCTGATGTCAGGGCGGAATCTAAATGCTGCCCTCAGTGCTCTCATCCTATTGCATGAGCCCACCTGCCAAGCCCACAAGTTGGAGGATGGGAAGGACCCTGGATGGAGGCAACTCCTTTCCCCCTGCCCACCCAGCTCCCCAGAATGCTGCTGAGTCCTCTGCACCCTTCCCTCGGCAGGCTCTTTGGTACTACAGGGAACTGTGCTGCTTGCAGCAAGCTGATCCCAGCCTTCGAGATGGTGATGCGGGCCCGGGATAACGTGTATCACCTCGACTGCTTCGCCTGCCAGCTCTGCAACCAGAGGTCAGTGCTGGACTGGCAGACCCAACACACTCCCCAGATGCCAGTCTGAGGCCTGCTGGGATGGGCCAGGAGCACGGTGGAGGCGTGCAAGCAAATGCAGGTCGCATGTGTGTATGTGGTGGTGTGTGCAGGTGATGAGTGTGCATGTGCTTTATGTGTTTTGTGTGTGTGTAAGCTTGGTAGCCAAATGTGTGCACTTTAATACTGGGTGTGCACATCTGTGTGGCACATTTCTGTGTGAATATAATGAAGGTGTGCATGAGTTTACTGTGTATGCATAGCGAGTGTGCATGTGCATGCATGTGTATTTGTAAATGTCATGTGCAAGTGGGCACATGTGCATGATGGAATTAATATGCATTTGTACATGTGTTTTTAAATGGGGGTGTATGTGTATGTGCAATGTGTGTGCATGATGAGGTGAGTATGCATGTGCATACATGTTTTATTTTATTTTTTGAGATACAGTCTCACTCTGTTGCCCATGCTGGGGTGCAGTGGCGTGATCTCACAATCTTGGCTTACGGCAACCTCTGCCTCCCGGGTTCAAGTGATTCTCCTGCCTCAACCTCCCAAGTAGCTGGGACTACAGGCGTGTGCCATGACACCTGGCTAATTTTTTTTTTCTTTTTTTTTCTTTTTTTGTATTTTTAGTAGAAATGGGGTTTTACCATGTTGGCCAGGCTGGTCTTGAACTCCTGATCTCAGGTTATCCGCCCACCTCTGCCTCCCAGATTGCTGGGATTACAGGTGTGAGCCACCGCGCCCAGTCTGTATATGTGTTTGAAATGTGCACGTGCATGGGATGACGTATCCTCCCACCCCCGTACCCAGTGTGTAGTATGTGTATGTGTGTGCATCTACGTTCCAGTGAGAAGGGGTTCCCAAATCTAGAGGGCAAAGTCCCCTTAGGGAGTGGCCACTCTCTCCTCACCCAACCCTTGTGATTCTGGTTCCAGCCCAGCCTCTTTTCTGGTCTCTTGGCCCCAACTCTGTGCCCTAGCCCTGTGGGAGTCCCTGGGGACCTAAGGAGCCAGATCCCTTTAGTTCTGGCTGGGGCCTAGCACCAGAAGGCAGGCGCTTTTCTCAGGAGCCCCCAGGTCAGGTAGGAACGTATACAAGTGCTCCCTGAAGTGAGGTTCAGAGGGACCTACAGGGCACGCTGGTCTGGCTGGGGGCTCTGGCCAGACCTGGTGCTAGGAGGGCTCAGTGAACTTACAGCGCCACCTGGTGGTGCGACTGGAATCTGCTGGAACTAGGCCAGCGATCCCTGGGGTCTCACTAAAGGCTTCACCCACCCTGGGGACATCTTTAGGGAAAGGACTGGAATCTTCCATTACTTGGGGAGGACTAGGAGACAAACGAAGGATCTTCCTTGGGTAGGAAAGGAGACACTGGAACAGGGTCATCTCCTAGAAGGATGCTTTAGGTAACCTACCGATTTTGTTTAGAGGAAGAATGAATGCCCTGTACTGAGCCATCCTCTTAAATTGGGGAGAGGGATAGAGGGATGGAAGAAACAACCATTTTATCCCTCCCTCCTTACCCATCTCTGCCTTTTTTTTTTTTTTTTTTTTTTTTTTTTTTGAGACTGAGTCTTACTCTGTTGCCCAGGTTGGAGTGCAGTGGTGTGATCTCGGCTCACTGCAACCTCTGCCTCCCAGGTTCAAGCAATTCTTTGCCTCAGCCTCCCAAGTAGCTGGGATTAGAGATGCCCACCACCATGACCAGCTACAGTTTTTTTGTATTTTTGGTAGAGATGGGGTTTCACCACCTTGGCCAGGCTGGTCTTGAACTCCTGACCTTGTGATCCACCCACCTCAGCCTCCCAAAGTGTTGGGATTACAGGCATGAGCCACTGTGCCCGGCTCCATTTCTGCTTTTCTCCATCTGTCTCCCTCTTTGGTCTTTTTCTGTTTGTCCTTTCCCTTTCTCCCTCTCTGGGACTGGGGTAGGCTGTTCCTGCACCTCTCCACCAAGCCCCCTAATCCTACACTCACCTCCACAGGAGACCTGACTGTGGAAGCCTGTGGCCCAACTGTCTCTCTGTCCTACCACTCCAGGCTACAGGGCCTGGCCAAGGTTGGGGCTGGCCTGGGGGAATTGCCCAGGTGTGCTGTGGGGACTTTAGGCAGTCCCCTCTGGAAGGTTCGAGGAACAAACTTCCCCCACCACCTCCCACATAGCCCACCTCCTAGGCCAGGCCGGGTTCTGTCTGCAGCACCCCCTTACCCACTGGAACCTTCCCATGGCTTCTCTCTCTCGCTTGGATTTTCTAGATTTTGTGTGGGAGACAAATTCTTCCTGAAGAACAACATGATCTTGTGTCAGATGGACTATGAGGAGGGGCAGCTCAATGGCACCTTTGAATCCCAAGTTCAGTAACACCCGGCGCCTGGCCTCCAGGCCCGTCTGTCCATCTGCCCGCCTGCCCACCCGCCTGGCCGGCCAGCCAGCCACTCTGCCAGTGCAGGCTGGCCAGCCACTCTCCTGCCACCTTAGAACTTCTCCATCCTCGATGGGAGGGACGGCCCTTCCTCCTCCACCACCGCCCGTCTGTGTATGACCCCTCCTGGGGCCAGGCCGGGCCTGTACAGTCTGTCTTCTGTATATAAATGGGAACATTTATTTTATGAGAAATGTAATGCGATTTTATTACTGGCGTGGATTAAACTTATGAATGTTTCCGGGAGGTTACTCTGCGTTGTTCACATGACTGACACAGACCTGGGGCCCCTCCCCTCTGCCTCTCAAGGGCAGAGCACAGAGCAGGGTGGGGGTCTCCGGCACGTGCTGTAGCCGGGCAGGGGAGCAACAGGCTGGCTTTAGGGGAAGAAGCTGGGAGGAACGAGACAACTCAGAGACCCTAGCTCCAGCCGGAGGTGAGACCTGAGGCATCTTCCCTCTGGGAGAGCACACACTCTGGCCCTGAGTAGGTCCCCAAGAAAAGGGGCAAGATGAAGCCTTCCCTACCCTGTGTTCCATCCCCTCTGTTGAGACCCCCGACTGAGGGCACAGATGGAGACCCAGCTCTGACCTTTTCCCCAGTAGGACCACAAATCTTGTGTCCTCTGCCATGGGAGCACCATGCTGAAACCTCTCTTCCCTTTTAGGGTGACGGACAGTACTTGTCTCTGCGAGCAGCTGGGGCCCAGCTTTCTGCTCTTCTGAGTGAGCAAGAAAAATCCTGTTTCCTTTCGACTCAGCCCATGCAGTCTGGAGGCATCCATTTATTCAGTCAGCAAACCTCAACAAACTCCATGTCTCAATCCCATGCTGCAACCGGGGGTGTCCTGGAGCAAATCAGATGTGAGAATGAATCATAGATCAGACACTGTCCCTGCCCTTGGGGAGCTTGCTGTGGGGGTGGAAAGTGGAAGCCATGTTGCGGGGAAAGCCAGGAAAACAAAGCACATCATTGTGAGGACAGAATGCTGTGCGGAGACCTGGGACAGGCCAGTTCCCTCTGCGGGACACAAGGCCACTTGTGATGACTTAAGAGAGTCATGGATGGACAAGTCAATGCACATATGGTCAGACAGACATGTGCTGCAGGCAGGAAGGATGGACACACAAGTAGACAAGTGTGTAGGCAGAGACAGGCAGGAGAGGTGGAGGTGGGCAAGCCCCATCACTCACCTCCAGCCACAGCTGCAGTAGACAGGCAGGCATCAGGGCGTTTCCCACCTCCCCCGCTGAGCTAGATTCACTCAAGGCAGCAGGGGTGCTGTCTTGGTCTTGGCTGCAGCCACAGTGCCAAGCACAGAGTCTGGAACCGTAAAGGTACCTTCTCACCGGGCAATATTAAAAAGAGAGGCTTCTTGAGTCCCCAGCCTAGACAGAAATAGCTGCACAGACAGGCTCCCTCACTATCAGGCCGCTCCCTTCTCCTTCCCAGGGGCTATTTTCACCCTCGCCATAGCCCAGAGCCCAGGGCACATGGAGCCAGACTATTGCCTCAAGCCCTGCCTACTCCTGGGCAGGGAATGGGCTGGGCTGGGCTGGGCTGGGCTAGGCTAGGCTGGATTCCCACCTCACCCTCCCCAGGCCTACTCCTCCACTTGAAAGTGAAAAGATGGCGGGGCCCTCCTGCGGGCTTGCAGGAGGCTACCTCTCCAAGTTGTGGTTTTGTGGTCACTGGCCCAGTTTGTGAAAAGGGATTGCTAGAGTCGAGGATCCTGGGGCAGGAGTTCTCAACTTTGGGGGCATCCGGTTTCTGTGAAGGAGCTGCACCCTGTATGTGCGAGAAGAGAGGCGAAGGCTGGTGGATCTGGCTGCAGTGGGTGTTTGTGTGAGCCATGGGTTCAAGGGGACGGTGAAACTGGGAGTTGTCTGTATGTGAGCACATGGGATTGTGAAGGAGTTTGAGTGAGGAGAGACACAGAGGGCTGGAGTTTATAATGAGGACTTTTCTTGCTCAACATGAAAAAGCAAATGATTTTCCTGCATTGTAGCAGAGTCCGCAGTGCCAGATTCTCCCTGGACCCTTAGGTCTAGGATGGCTGTGCCCAACCCAAGGGCCCCAACTCTTACTTCGAGTTTGCTGGAGATAAAGTTATAACACAAGTTAATTACATGGTTATCGAGAGATAACGGAGCCAGTTGAATGCAGTTTCTGGGCAATTACAATTGTTTCCAACAGAGTTACCATATTGCAGCCATGAAATAACATGTCATTTTGCAGTAATTATGTAATTAACTTGTCTCACCACTCTAGGTTGCACAACAGTTAATTCACTCACAATGAGATAGAGTCAAACTCAGGCAGGCAGGGTTTGCAAGTCCCCAAGAACAGAGCTGGCCTTCTAAGAAGACCCCAGCCCCATCCTGCCCACCCCAGACCTTGTCAACGGACTTCCCCAGCTCAACATGGTATGGAATTTGCCAAGTCTGGCATCATGGACCCAGTTATTGCTCTCTCACCGTCTCATCTGGGAAATGGGGATGATCTGATTCCCAGGTCAGCCACGGGCCCCAGATCTACACTGTGAAGTGCTGTGGTTACATGAGCTACAGTCAGCATTGTGGACATCATGAGATCCTCAGTAGGAGACCCTCACCCAGAAAGTCCAGTATCAGTCCACAGATATCCTGAAGAAGAGGCCACATGGGCCTCATCTTCGCAAGTGTGAAACTGATAAGAGGGTAGGGATGAAGCAGAGAGAGACCAAGCTCATTCTGTAACAGAGCAACTGGGATAGCGGGAATGGCCACCAAGGTCTGGGGATTATGCACCTGGAGAGAATTCGCAACACCCAGGAACACCCAGGGGTGACACAGGAGAAGCCTGAATTCCTCCCCCATCACTGCAAAGGAGAAACTTGGTTAAGTGTAGGGCATGAATTGTGTGGACTTGGCTCTCCTTAGGGGTTGCACCCACCACAGATGATTGGTGCAGGGAGGGAGAGCTGAGTGTGAACTGTTAGAGGCTGCAGCAGCTCTCATCTCAGCCTGGGGCATGTGGGCGGTGGGGAATGTGGGCCACCATTGAACCACAGCTGTGCACAAATCTCCCTTTCCTCCAGCCAGATCTTGGGATCTCATCCCCTCTCCCTGCCTTCCTTGGTGGCCTGGGGAAGAGATACCCTAACAGGGGGCCTGAGCCCATGAAATATGGCACCTGCTTATGCTCCCACTCCTTGGCCTGAAGCTGGACTGCGCAGCCCATGTTTGGAAAGAAATTTGATTCCAATCTTAACACTGTTGCAGAGCCCATTATGAAATCTCCTATGAATCCTGTCTCCTCCTGGGCCTGCTCTCAGAAACCTTCCCCCACATCATGAGACATGCGGAGGCCACAGGCACAATCCACATGACATTCCTGCCTGGGAGATCTCATCTCTACAAGGAGACAATTGCTCTTTCCCTTAAAGCTGTCAGAGACCATTCATGGCCAGGATTTTTATTCTAGGGCAGCGTGCTTCTCCTTCATGACTCAAGACTTCCAGTGGGTGCTGCCTAGACCCCAGCTGTCTGAGCTTATGTGCTCTGAGCCCAGGACAAACAGCCAGGTCCTCGGACTATCCCCCGGCACTGGGTTTTGCAGAGCTTATTGCCTTTGCCAAGAAAGCCTGGGCCCCTCAGAGGTTCCAGAGCCCATTGGCTGCCTGTGGCACCTGGGCTGGGGTCTGTGCCTCCGTGGTCCCCATGCCTTCTCCGTGACACCACATTCCAGAGAGGAGCTGGTTCAGGGGCTCCTGCCTGGGGCTTTCTTTGCAGACTCTTACCTCCTGGATCTGCTCTGGAAGCATAGTGAAGCCTGTTGGGGTGGGGTAAGGGATAGCTCTGGGGTTTCCTGAAGTTCCAGCAAGTCCAGTTTTGTCTTCCAGAGCTCAAAGATGCTAGGGAACTGAGGCAGTTCTTGGGTCACATTTGTTGTTCTAATGGGTCTGCCTGCTGCACTGGGTGAACTGAAGGGCTCTTCTGACAAGGGGCCGGAGAACTCCTCATGATTACCTGGGCCCCTTTTCTCCGGCTGCCACCCTGATCCCTGAGCCCCCGGCCCATCTGCCAGGTACTAGGTGGGATCAGGGATCAGCGACAGAGCACTGAGACACAGAGGGACAGAGGAAGAGATGAGAACGAATAGGTTGTGGTGCAGTGGAGGGAGAGAAAGAGAGATGGAAACAGAGGGGGAGATGGAAAGAAATGAGGCAGAGGGCAGGAGAGGAGACAGAGGGGGAGGGAATGGGAAAAGCATCCCAGAAGAAGTTTCTAACTTTAGGGAAGGTGTGAGGTGACAGCAGTGCGGAGGAAAGGGCAGCGTGGCATGATGGTTACATGCATAGGCCCAGGAGCCAGATTATGTGAGTGCAGATCCTAGCTCTCCACTTGGCAGCTGCACAGCCCGGGGCAGCTTGCTTAGCTTTCATCTTAGAGATTAGGCCTTTCCTCATCTGTAAAGGGGACTGATGATAGTGCCTGCACCTCAGGTTGCTCCCAGTGGTAGATGAGCCATCACATGGGAGGTGCTCACAGCTGCAGCAGCTCCTGGTAAACACCAGAACATGTAACTGCTGCTGGGAACCTTCCTTTATACAACCAGCACTAGGTCTGCTGGTTTGAGGCCTGGCTCACCGCAGCAGAGTCCTGCGTCACAGGTGACTCCTGGGCATCTGAGAGCTCTCAGGAGAGGGGCACTGCGTGCTGGCACCAATGGGGGAAATCCAGCCCAGATAAGGCAGGCTTTCATAAAAACATGCCCAACCCGCTTAAGCCTCTCAGCAACTCTATCTTACAGTTGAATCATCCCCATTTTACAGTTGAAGAATCTAAGGCTCAAAGAACCATTCTAGTTAAATAATATTCAATAGCATCTGGACTTGAATTGAGGCCTGGTCTGACTCGAGTCCATGTGAAACTGCCACCTAGAGGCCGCTCTGGGCAGTGGAAGGATCTGGGAGTCCAGAAGTAGATTTTATCCTCACTAAACCGCCAGATCCTCTCCCAGTCTGCATTCCCTTTTCTCTCTACAACTCACGCCCTAGTGAGGGCTTGGTGCACAGAGGGGAAGGGTCCTCAGACACTTATGTTCCTCACTGCACATCCTGCATAAGCATGTCACTGGGCCTGGCCTGTGCTGGCCACTGGGTGGGATGAACAATTCCAGATGCTGAGCAGAGGCAGTGCAAGCAGCCTGTCCCATGCCTGAACTGAAGGTTTATCAGTGGGACAGGCCCCAGTGCGTCATTA